TACGGAATAGTATTGATATAACAAAAACCATTGCGTGTTAATTCAAGCTTTATCTTTTATGAAAAATATTTATGATACTTGTTTCTTTATTTGTATACTGGAACTAGAATGATACATTATTGTCAAGTGATAGAATTAAATGTACTCGAAAATTTAGAAATATCAATCGACTTAGTTTGACTTGCAGACTTTCCGAACAGGACTAGGCCAGAAAAAAGTGGTCTGTTAGCAATATATTTTATTTTGTGAAGAAGATAAAATGTAGACGTGAATGTACTTCATCGAATACAACATTATATTGTTATATATGGAAAAAGATCTACAAGAAATTTGTTGCATCATAGTCGATCTTTTTGCAAGATTCTTTCTTTTTTTTTAAAATTATATTGTCATTGACAACTTTGTTCATAAACTAGTGCCATCTATTCATGAAAATTCTCTATTTCCTGCTATTGAAATAAGAATAAAATAATAAGAAAAGTAGAATTTAATGAAAAAAATTCTAATATAATCTATTAAGTTACATATATGCTATCAAGAGAAGAGCTGGAGACTTAGTCAATTTAACTATGGTAAGACGTGGCTATGTTGGCGAGATATTTTTATATTGTCTCTGCTTTAATTTCGTTTTTTTCCTTGGGAAAGATCAATCTGCTTCTTTTTTTTAATTTGAAATTCTGATTGATTTGTAACGATTTGACTTAGCTTCAATCTGATATGTTGTAATGATAATCAATGAAATACTTTTTATTCAATATTATTTTAGATTTTATTTTAAAAAAATAGAAAAACGTAAAGAGGAGAATGTCTAATCAACGAACAACATCGCGTGATGAAGATTTACTTCTTCAAGATTTTAGTCGAAATGTAACGACTAAATCATGGGCTTTATTTATTGGTAATGCTGCTGTTGTTTCAGCTATTCCACTTTGTAAGTTATTTGAAAAAAGAATAGTTTTTGAGAATAAGTCTTTCATATGAAACTTTTTTTAATATTAGGGCTCTTCTGGCGCATTCATCAAATGGATATTACATCCTATTTTATTCATTTTATTATTGGTACAGCAATAAGTACATATTTTCTTAATTCTGCTTATCAAAATATGAAATTTATTTTAAAACATAAGTAAATATTTTTCTATAAATTGAACACAAAAAAAAAATGAAGAAACCTGTGTTTTTTTTACTTTTAGAATAGCACAAAAACGCGAAGAAGCTATTAATCGAGAAATAACGAAATTATTTACTAATGATAAAAATGCTAATAAAAAAGATAAAGATGATCGGTAAGAAGAAGAAGCTTTCCTATATCTATATATATGTATATTTCTTTTGAATTCATTTTCTTGAAATTATTTTTTTTTATTAGAGTTTTAACACGTAAAAATGAAGTAGCAGATTTTGAAGCAACAACATTTTCAATTTTTTACAATAATGCATTCTATCTTGTTTGTCTTATTGTATTATCATTTTTTGTATTTAAAAATTTTTCACCAACAGTCAATTATCTTTTTTCTGTCGGCCTATCAACCGCTATTGTTTTTCTTTTTTCAACTGGAGAAAAATAAATAAATTAAGAAAAAATAAAATAATTTATGAATTTCAAAGACACATACACCTTGTTTGTTGTTATTGTTCTTCGTTGGTTTTTTTTTCTTCTTCTTCTGAACCAGTTTTATTGTTATTTGTGTAATCATATCTAACATTCTTGATGATTTTGTCTTTTATTGTTTTGTTGTTCTTTATTTATTTTAACTATAATCATTATTAGTTAAGACATGGTGAAAAGAATAAAAAACAAACCATTTCGATGTATAATCATAAAACTAAGGATTAATGAGTCATTTCAAATAAACATATTGTTTGTGAAATTTAGCAGAACAGATTAGTGAGCTAAAATTTGTCAATCGTGATATGATGTACGAAACTGTAAAATATCATTGTTGTTTTCAATCGGTTGAGATCTGAAATAGATATAGATCGAATCCGAACTTTCGAATTTCAGTTTGATCTGATATAGAAAAAACAGTTTGGTATCTACAGACTTATTCTTATGAATGTTTCCTTATTTCATTCTTTTGCTTTCCGTAATGTCTATTATAAAGCATTCAAATACACCCAAAAGTCTTTTGTCTTATTTATTTCAAGGAATCTTCTCTTCTGTATGTTATAGCTATTCGGATCGATCAAAGACATAGATACCATGTGTTTTGACGTTCTCACTTGAATGTGTTGTTTACATGCCTGATGCTTAGTAATGCGTTATGAGAACTATCAGAATGATGCACACCGAATCTAAAGCAATCCAATGTTTTGTCTTGACTGATAGAAGTGAAAATATTGGCTATTATCTTCATAAAAAAAAGATTTTGAAGAAATCATACATAACAAAATGATAGATTGAGATTTAGCAAATTTGTTCAGTTTAATGGGTGGTGCAGATTAGACTGGACATAATCATTTTCCTTTTTTTGGAACACTTACAATGGAACTGTTTATCATGTCAGTTGATTTGATTAACTATATTCGAGTCAAACTGTCACCCTTAACGAGAAATTAAAAATATGAGCTGCTGATGGCAAATTTGAATCGAGTTATTCAAATTTGAAGGTATTGACAATTTAGGTATATAAAAGTCAGTCTACAGTAGAGCCCTGCGGTTCCGGTTCCATCCTCTTTTATTTTACGGTTCCGGTTTCGGGTAAGAGAAACAGAAAAATCCGGTTCTTGGCTCGGTTCCGTTTTTTTCGGAACCGCAGGGCTCTACTAAGAATGAACGTTTCGTACAGCAAGTCTTGCGTTCAAAACTATTACTGTGCGTTGGTTCCAAACTTTTTTCTTCTTAAAGGTAATATCAAAAACTTTGAAAAGGTCGTGAAAGTAGAGAACATTCGATTTGCTATTCATGAATGCTGCATACTTTACTTTTAGGATCAATATTGATGAGCAAACGTTTACACAAATTGTTGAATACCTGTAGAAAATTCGGAATCGTACTTCAACCTTTCAATAGGTATTTATCTTTTGAATTCTGCTGCAATAAGAAAAAATTATTTGTTATGTCAATGTCTTCGACATAACATTCTGAGATCTGACATAAAAATAAGAACGTTCAAGGGTTTCTCGTCACATGAGAACTAATAATTACTTCGTTTAATAGAAATAAAAATTCTTCAAAAATAGTGTGAAATAAAACAAGCTGATTCTTAGTACAGTTTTTTCATATCAATTTAAAAAACGAAGTTCTGATCATTATCATTCTTATTATGATCTATTTATTTTCTTATATGTCTATGAATGATATATTTGTCTAGTTTTTGTATGGCAAACATTTTAATTTGAATAAAATAATGGCTAAGACATTTATACTGAATGCTTTAGTAAACTCATTATGCATAACTATTTAATTATATATTCAACTTATTCTCACCTTCGATGTTTGAGTCTTATTCAATAACATAATATATGTAGGTTTTATCTTAACTAATATTTATTAATTCAACATAAAAGAAATAATATTTACTCAACTATGACGAAGCCTTGAATTATTAGAGTTAATAGATATACTCAATGTTTTAATTATGTTGAATAATCACTTTTCTCTCAATATTTATTTAGTGTTCGAATGTATTTCGAAGGTATAAAAGCATCTTGAAAAGAACAGAAAAAGAAGATAATGAACATCATTTGGTAGCATAATAAAATTACGTCAAACATTACACTCATTCAATATGAAATCAATGGGCAGAATATTACCGATCGTTTTAATTCTATTAGCATTTTCTTTTAGTAGTAAGACTAAATCCTAAGGAAAAAGAAAATCTTATATAACTATTTTTTTCTTTTGAAGTAACTCATGCTGCTTTAACATGTTATTCATGTAATGATTGTGGAACTTCATGGGATGCATCAAAGGCTACTATAGTTCAAACATCTGGTGCTAATGACTATTGTCGAGTAAGTATAAATTTCATTGTAAATAATGAGATCATTGGTTTTTTTTCAAAAATATAGAAAACAGTAACGGGATCAAGTGTTAGCAAAGATTTTTCTTCGTCGTGTACATCTGTTAATGTTCTTGGTAATGGAGTTTTTTGCTGTCAATCGGATTTGTGTAATTCAGCAAATAAACGATCAATAACAATGATTCATCTTGAAATTTCGATGGGTTTCATATGGATAATTTATCATTATTGGTATTAGATTTCAAATTTTATTGTAAAGAGAAAAAAAAACCAAAAATCAGAATTACTGTTAAGAAATGAATAAATATACAAGCGTTTTTATAATGAATGAAAATAAATATAAATACTGATAAGGCTTTTACTAAAATAATGCTGGTTTATTGTAAGATGAATTTTGTACTATTCGTTGAAAAATGTTTCTTCTACATTGATAATTGTCCATGGAAATATACAGAGAAATGAAAAACGAACAAGTCATAACCATTCTACAGAAAGAATAATCATTGATAATATTAATATCTGTATGATATTTATTAAGAATCTTTTTTGACAATAAATCAAGCTACGGAAAAAAAATAAGCTACACTTAGGATGTCATAGACATGGAAAAATCTCGTTATTCTCGTCCATAAGTTGATATAGCAAGTACTCTAAAATGAATGGGTTATTTATTTATTCATAATTTTATTGTATAGTGTCTACATAAGTTATTTTATTTTTCTTACAAGAAGATATGCTCGTAAATTTTCTACAAAGTGTCTAGATTTTATAATAGCAAGTGTTATATAATAAAAAATAACTTGAAAAATATCGTAATCTCTAAGTAGGAAGTTGTCTAAGTATTTCGTTGATATCTTAGTTAATTAAATCACTTAGTCTTAGATGTTTTCTTCAAAAATTTCATCGTGAAATTGTTCATAAAATAATATGTTTCTATTAACAACTATACTTTCTTTCAATATTGTAATACCATATGGCTGAACCATAATGTTAATTACAATGTTCACTTTTGTTTTCTTAGATAACCTTTTCATCGTTATGGCATTGTGGCTTGGAGCAAAATTTTAGAACTTTTACGTAAAGGAATTCGTTTTAGATTGATATTCATGAATAATTGATAGTTCTAATGAGTAGTTGAAAATGAACTTGAGGAAGCAACAGTGTGTACAATTTCAAGTGCGTATCTTTTGGAGAAAAAGTTTAGGACTAAATGATACAATTAAGAAAGATGCCAACAGAATACTGAGACCATCTGTTACTTAAAAATGATGATGCTTTTCAAGGCTTTGTTTTTCATTATATAATACTTGCTATTCTAAAATCTAGACACTTTTCTTTGATATTTATTGTGTAAAAAATTTATCAGTGTATCTTTTTGTAAGAAAACTAAAATAATATATTCTTGAGACTATTCACAATAAATCTACGAATAGTAAACTATCCACTTACCCTGAAGTACTTGATGTTTTATAATTCTCTTTTTGTTTTTTTTATAAATTGAACCATTGAATAATATGAAATTTTGAATATGATTCTTAAATTATTCTTTTATGAAAAATTCGTAGTTAGATCCTTGCGAAAGCAATTTCAAGTGTCTAAGGACATGATTTTATCTACAACAAAAATTGAATTTCTATATTTCTATTCAAATAACATCTGCCGAAAGAAACTTCAAAGTATACTCAAAATATTCTTTGTCTATCTGAATGATATACGTTGTATTCGTATCTACATTAGGTCCCGCCCCAAAAAAAAAACATAATGACATTTGCTCCATAAGCATATTACCTAGTAGCAGTTTGAAGACGTGTTATAGAAGTAGAAAAATGAGGATATGATTATATCGTTCTTAATAGAATTGTTTTTCTTGATGAAACAGAAACATTCTGTTACAAAATGCCGTTTTGTCTGCATTTTAGATTAATGTTTAACTAAAGCTAAAAATAAAGAGACATCTAATAAAAGTAAATGTCTGTTTGTTGCGTGTCAAAACTTTAGTTTATGTCTGGAATTGAGAGAATAACATTCAGTGTATTTTAACTATTGTATTATGCATTGAAGATGTTTTTTTTCTTTCGATATTATTAACTTCATATCAAATTTTTACTTTATTGAATATAATTTCTATTGAAGGTTTATGAAGAATTCGAATTATTAAAATCTAGTGTTTTTATTATTGGAATTGAAATTTAAGTAATGTATTACAATGAGCAGTGACAGCAAATGAAAGTTAATTGCCTTTAATAGTATTCAATACTTAAATGTATTTATGTTTAACTTAATAATTTATGATTTATACGACGTATTTTATCACAAAAACAATTAAAATAGAGTGTTAGGCGAGAAAAAGAAAGAAAAAATATTCTCTTATAAAAATATCAGATATATTTGTCATTAGCACATTTGACAATTGCTTTCTGAACTTAACGTAATATGAAACTTTTTCTTAGCTTTTTCTTTTGTGCTACTAGTAAGATTTTGTTTTATAATATCAAATCATTATTAGATCTTATATTATAGTTTTTCTACCGACATTGATCAATGGACTTCAATGTTATGAATGTATTATATGTAGCCGACCATTCGATAGAATTAATGCAACTATACGGATAACAAATAGTTCGAGTGAATCTTGTTATGTAAGTCTTTCTTTTTGTGAAAAATAAGTGTCGATTTCAATTTTAAAAAAATTTAAATAGAAATTAGAAACTGGCATATCTACAACTAGAGGAGCAATGGATGTGTGTATTCAAACAAATGCATTAGGTCTTGGTACTTGGTGTTGTAAGTTTTTAATACTTAGAATTTTTTGTTTGATTAATATGATTTCTAATTTTTTTGTTTTCAGGTAATACCGATTTATGCAATAGAGGACAATCGAGTGTTCTGATGAATTTAAAAATAGTTATTTCTACATTTCTGCTTAGTATCGGACTAATGGATGTGCTTCAATTATTTTGTGGATACAGTGTTTGATATGAAATATTTTATCTTATTGACTAATGAATATTTTTTTTATATTATGAGAAATCAAAATAACTGTTCATTTTTCTCCTTGTAAACTGCGTAAATGTTGTTCTAAGTAAATCAAATATTTATGAAATAAAAACTTGAGAAAACGAGACAGAAAGAAATATGAGATAATATTTGCTTCAAATTTTAAGAGAAAATTTTCATGTATCTAAACGGAAGTAATTCACCGTACCATTAGATAATTACTAACGCATAGGTTTTTAAAATAAATGCATAGCTAATTTCAAATCATTATATTAAGAAAAAATTATACGTCGTATAGAAGAAGGGTTCATAATGAATAGACTGTTTTTTAAATGAGTATTTCATGCAAAAAGAATTATATTTTTCATAAAATCTATCTTAAATATCAAGATGCTATAAGAAATGATTGTTTTGCGTCTATAAGATTTCATGAATAGTTTACTAACGTATGCAGAAACAAAAATATTACAGTGGTGAAAAAATAATCTTTCCCTATTAGATCTTAGCTAGACTTCGAGTTAGAGATCACGAAAAGACGAAGCCGTTAAAAGCAATGGAATTTCATGCTTTCTATTTCCTCGAAATTCAGTTTTATTTTGCTAATTTTGTCATTGCCACATTTCGAAGTCAACCAAAGTATCTTATTTCATACTGCATTTCAATCGATTTAACTATCACTATCAAGTCAATATGACATGACGCTAAAATGATGAGTGTAGTGTGTTTTTATAATGCATATTGAATTCATTCATTCATTTATTCATTCATATTCTTAGTCGCCTTGTCTATATCAAATAAAAATTCGTTTATTCCGCCATCAAATGGCATATAAATATTTGTGACAAGGTTGTTTCATGATTTTTTTTTCATATTAAGACTAGACATTTACCAAGATAGAGGTATCATTGATTGCTTAACACAGAGCAGACCGATCACAGAGAAAAATTGAAAAAATAGAAATTTCGATTGAAACTGGGGTATTTTTCTCTCGGACTACTCTGCTCGGTATTATGCACAGTTAAAGAAAACTAGGATGAGTAATTCGTCATAAGTCTCGTCGTATTTTTGAAGAGAAATGTTTTCATCATTTTCAATGAAAGTACTGTCTCCATATATGCCTAGTCTTGATATGAAAGAAAATCATGGAACAACCTTGTCACAAATATTTATATGACATTCGATAGAGAAACAACTGAACTTCAATTTGATACATGCAAGGCGAGACTAAAAACATAAATGAATAAATTCAATATGTATTATAAAAGCACACTATACTCGCCATTTTAGGATCATATCATATAGATAACTTCGATGGTAATAGACTTTTAACAGTGATAATGACAAAATTAGTAAAACTAAAATCGAATTTCAAAGGAAGGAGAGAGCCGGAAAGATTTCATCGCTTAATCGTTCTTGTCTTTTGAGTACATATACGTTGTCTAGATTGTAGGCCGAAGACACGACCTTATTCTGTTTGCTTTAATACAAAGTGGGTAACGACAAAGGTCATTTCTTTCTGTTTCGAGCTTTTTCATACAGTAAGACAGTCTATGGAATTTTTATCAAATGCATCATTAATCCTTGATATGTTCACATGTAATTGAAGTCCAATCTATAGTCTTTCTTGACTCAAAAGGTGAATTCATTTGATTTGATAATTGATGTATCTGAATGCTTTTGAATCTTCAGCATTTCTACGATAATTATCGGTATGATATTTCTATTTAATAGAAGAATTACTAATAATATTCAACTATGAGGAAACTTCTTTGAAAGTTTATGCTCGACTCATTGAACTATTACTGAATTCTAGTTTTATAGTTTTACTTCACGCCAATGATCATCGTAAAAATGACTACAGTTCTACACAACATTAAAACTCTTATTTTTCAAAATTACGACGTTCAAAAGCAAAACAGATAGTAACCATTGTCGATCATTATTATTTTGTTTGTATTTGAGTAATTGAAACGAGATTATATCTCTGATCTAAATACTTAGCAAACTATGTCATTACATATATATATATTCAGACGTCTAGTATTTATGGTAGTTGAGATCTGATAGAGACTACTGCACATTCTTGCAATATAATAACATAAACATTTCAATCGAAAAAAGAAATATTACGAAGATTTACGATTGAATTTATTTTAGATTAAATAGAAAAAGGGACAAAAAAAATTATTTATAATTTTCATTTAACATATGTTTATTTATCATTGTTTCTCGATTTTTTAATCCATGATATAATGTAAGTAAATAGGTGAATACACATTTTTTATCTAATTCACCATTAACAAGATCATCACTATCAAGTAATGGATGAATTTGAGCTTTTTCTCTAATAAAATATAAAATCATAATAAATTGATAAATAATAACTAACTAACTTACTCAGCAATACGAAATGCTAAATCAAAATTATTTTGTTTATTATTACGATTTAATGCATTAAAATCAAATGCATCCGGAAAATAATGATGAATTATAGCACAAAAAGCTAGACCATCAGCAAAATCACTTGTAAAATTACGTATTTTTACTGACTATTAATATAAACAACAAAAAAAAGAAAAAATAGATTAATTAAAAAGAAAAACAAACAAAACAATTTAAATCATACTTCATAATTTCTAGTAACATTTTGACACCATTTCAAAAGACGTTCTTGTGCTTCTTTATAAGACGGACGTAAATTTGATGTCATCTAAAATATTCAACATTAGGTTATCTAAACTTACATTCGTACATTCATATTATCAATGTTCAACAAAAAGCAAGACATATGATAAAACTAACAACGCGACTACTATTGACTGATGTATGTGTTCGGTTGAACTAAAAGAAAAAAAAAAAGAAAAGGTAACTTATGGTACCGAGTGAACGATAGTAATAGGACAGAGTGTATTATGATGGATAAAAAAAAAGAAGAATGAAAGAAAAGAAGAAAATGAACTCATTCGTCTATTGTAACCGAATGAATGAGCATATGTTAAAGTCTCAACAATAAACGAATCTAAATGACTTTTTCATTGATTCGTTTTTTTACCAAGACTAAAAAAAAAACTACTGTATAAACATATATTGACCTTGCGTCATAGTCATCAAGCAAAAATGTTATTTTTTTTTCTTATTCCGATGTAATGGAATCACATGAAGCATTTCCATTCATTGTTCATTCTAAATCCAGACGTTATTGATATAGAAAAAAAGTAAACAAGTCTCGATGAATGTCATAATGATATATAATAGATATTATACTTCAACTACAGAAAAATACTTTCTATTGATTTGAATAGTAAGATAGAATAAAAAAGTTGAATGAATTTGAATATATATGTACATAAAAAGAAAAAAACTCTGTTCTTGTTCACTATCGATAAGCTTTATGTAAATGTAATTTATCTCGATTGTTAAAGAATGATTATAAAAAAAAACGCGAAGATACTTCATTATCATCATTATGACATCTCTATTTTTTTGTCGCTTACTCGTATCTATTGACATAAGTAAATAGAATAGTGGAGACAATATAATCAATTTCCGGTCTCGTTGTAGGTGTATTGAATAATAAATAAATCTCTAATCTCGACGACAAGCAGCAACACAATCGTTCATTATTCGAATCAGTAGATATGTATGATTGGATGTTAATACACAAGAAAAAAAAACACTCTCGGGTTATTTGATTTATCTACGCGACATAAGACGGTACATATATATATATATATATATATACGGTGAAAAACCTTATCTACTAGGAACATAATTTAATTAAATCTTTCAAGAATCCTACATGGATTTAGTGAAAGAAAAGTACACTTGTTATCAATGTAGATTAAGAATAATTGATGCATAATTAAGAACAAATTTTCAAGGATTTCAAACAATTATGTAATCATTGAATACATAAAAATAAACTATTCAATAGATGAAAATGTTTAATAATTGAATAACTGATTAAGTACACTTGATAGTGATGTCCTATAGGAACAATTTTTTCCTCGTTAGTCTTGCGAAGAATTCGTGAACCGGAGCGATATTAAAAAATGGACGTTCCTAAAAATCGTTTTGTTCTGTTTTATATATATATATATATATACATTCTACAAACTTTACTTTTTCAAACAAAAAATGTTGAAGTCAATTCCTTGTTTTATCATTGAGAAATAGATTTTCGACATTCTTTCAAAGACTTTTGCATTGCTTATTGATTAAAAGAATAATAACTAATACCTATCAACGAAGATTATATAATTTCATTCATTATTCATTAAATTGTTATTCAATTATCATAACTATTATTTATCTTTGTGATTGTCAACTTTGAAAGGACTATTATTTAGATTATCTCGCAATATAGGATTATTATTATCTTCTTCTCTTGAATGATATTTTCGTTTTTTTTCCCAGTGATAATTTTATTTTTAATTTAAAGTTGTCTCATGTTGCAAAAAGTGTGATATTGACAGAAGCTAGTGACTGCTAATAATAGTTTTTCTCAAATACGAAAAATTAAATCATAATAGGAATTCTAAAAGTATTACGGAAGCGAGAAGAGTCGTTCCCACAGGACAATACTTGAAGGTCAACGTTTAGCAAATGTCTTTCCTTGAAGCATTTTTCACAGACAAAAGACTAATAAAGCGGATCAATAATACTTAAAATACATTTCAAAAGTATTATTTGGTTACATCCGTTCTCTGTCCTTGTTCTTAATACACTACAGACAGTGCGTACGATTAACGGGGGGGAAGCAAGGTCATTTCCTCTTTCTATATTTTTCTTGCGTTCTACATTTCTCTCTGATAATTTTCTGTTATGGATAACTAACATTTTTAATAGTTCAATGAAACAAATTGCCAATGTAAAAGCAAAGTTCTGTTTGTAATTTTTTAAAGACAACCACCAGTTATTTTCTTCCAAAGATGAACTAGATCAGATCATATTTTGAAAAGCATTATATTAAAAATACA